ATTAGAACAGATGCTACATTAAAGATAATATATGGATGGCAAACAAGCACATGAAAAGATGCTCAACATCATTTATCATTAGGGTATTGCAAATTTAAATAATACCACATATGTATATAGGATGGCTGAAGTCCAAAAACTGAAAATATAAATCGATGGTAAAGATGTGGAGCAATAGGAATGTCCATTCATGGCTATTGCTTATGCAAAATGGTACCACAACTTTAGAAGACAGTTTGGTGATTTTGTACAAAGCTAGGTGTTGTCTGAACATAAAATCCAGTAATTTTATTCCTAGGTACTTAGTCAACTGATTTGAAAATTTGTGCCCACAAAAAAACTTCCTCACAGATGTTATAGCAGCTGTACTCATAACTGCCCTAAAGTAGAAGCAACAATAGATCCACCTGTTCTTGATTTACCTATTCATAATTGCCCAAACTAGTAAGCAACTATACATTCACCTACTTATCAATATGTGAATAGAAATTAAAAAAAACATCCATACAATGGAATATTATTCAATGCTACAAATAAATGAGCTATTAAGTAACAAAACAAGCCAGGTGTGGAGGTGCACACCTGTAATCCCAGCAGTCAGGAGGCTGAGGCAGGAGGATTACAAGTTCAGAGCCAGCCTCAGCAAAAGTGAGGCACTAAGCTGTCAGGGGCTAGAAGGAAATTCTCCTTCAAATAATAGCCTGACAGCCCCCTGGGAGACATCCTGCCTGGGAGACATCCTGCAGCTACCTATCTCCCTGGAACATCCTGCGGTTATCAGGATCATCAGACATCTTGCAGCTGGCAGTTTTACCACCCACATCCAGCAATTGCTGATTAGAGAGCTTCCCCATCCCCAGCATATAAATACCCCTGTGTGAACAATAAAAGTTTGCAACTTGATCAGAACTCCTGTCTTGCTGTCATCTCTCGTGTCTCTTGTCCCTTCATTCCTCCCCACCTAGGTTTGCGGCCCTTGTTGATGTGTCCTGCTGCCCTTGTTGATGTGTCCTGCCGGCTGGGACACTAAGCAACTCAGTGAGACCATGTCTGTAAATAAAAAATACAAAATAGGGCTGGGGATGTGGCTCAGTGGTTCATTGTCTCTGAGTTCAATCCCCAGTACCCACCCCTCACCCCCACTAAAAAAAAGAAACAGAACAACATGGGTGAAGTAAGCAAAAGAGGTCATTCCGAAAGGCTACATATTATATGATGCCAAACAATCTGGAAATGACATTCTGTAAAATGCAAAACTATAGTGATGACCATATAATAAAAAGATCAGTGGTCACTGGGGCTCCAGGTGAGGAGGGTAAAAAATGAATAGGGGAAGCAAAGGGGACTTAAAGGTAGTGAAACCATTTTGTATAATATTGAAATTGTGGTTACATGACACAGCATTATTCAAAAGCCACAGAACTTTACAGCATAAGGAAGTAATCTTAATGAAGCAAATTTTAAAAAATCATTTAGGAGATTGGGGATTCCAGGATGGAATGCAGAATGTGACCAAAGAATCAAATTGTAGGGTGGTGAGAGGAAGGGGGGATTAACCTAAGTAACTTTGAAAATCTGCAATCTGTAAACCTTAAAGTAAAAGAAACTGAAATTTATTGTGAGAAATTTATTTTCCGCAGGGGTATGGTTAACAATTCTTATACCACCATACATGTATACTGGAAGAATACAATTAAGTTAATGGATGTTCGAAAGTTTGAGCCTGATTCATCACTGTTGTAGTTTATAGATAAGCAAGAGAAGTAGACTAGAATCATCCACATGATTACAGATTAGAGTTGAAGTCATCATCATGTTTAGCTTACTATATAGATACAGATAGTTACATACAGAAATATTTATAGATATACATAGATTACAATACACACAAACATTTTGGTACTGTTGGCTGATAAGGCCTAAAAGCAACTACATCATGATTAGATCTTGGTATCTAATACCATCCTCCAATAAAAGGAAACAGGGATCCTTGAAGAAGTAGCTCGTTTGACAACTGGAGCAGGAAATGCACAAAATAGGACTGGAATATTCTATGGTTTCAGAAAGTATGGGAGTACCCCCAAAAAAACCTAAACCCAAACACAGGAATAAATAAAAAAACATTTTTGGGATACGAAGAACATTGGATCTATTTGAAAGAGTTCCCAGTTACCTGAACAAATCTAAAAAGTATTATATTATAACCCAAATATAAAAATAAATGGTCATGAGTCAATACTGATACAAATCAAGCAGAATGGATAAATCTCCAGGGCATGAGAATTTCAAGTAATTTATGAAAATATTCTACCCACAACGAGGTGGAGCATCACTTCCCACTTTTTAGTGTGACCTGCCCATAGTAACTCTTCCTAAGGAGTACACTATGGAAGGTGGAAAAAAAGTAATTTTATAATGGAGGAGACTTATGACAAATTCTCAGCTAGTTGATCACAGAAACATCAACAGTGACAAGTCACGTTGATCATATATTCCTATCATGTGATGGAAATGGCATTTACCTCTGTGATCTTCCTTCCCCAGATTTATAACCTCAGTCAAATCATGAGAAAAATATCAGAAAAATCTCTGTTAAGGCAGATTCCAGGAAGTACCTGAGCAGTACTCCTCAAAATGATCAAGGTCATGAGTAACAATGAAAGTCTGAGAAACTGTCACAGCTGAGAGGAGCCTATGGAAATGTGATAACTAAATGGAATGTGGTATCCTGGAACAGAAAAAAGGACATTAGGTAAAAACTAAGGAAATATGAATAACCAATGTACCTTAGTTAATAATAATGCATTGATTCATTCATTAAGTGTGTATAGTAATGTAAGTTGTTCATAATATAAAAATGAGGCATAGAGGGCTGGGGCTGTAGCTCAGTGGTAGAGCACTTGCCTTGCACATGTGAGCACTGGGTTCAATCCTCAGCACCATATAAAAATAAATAAATAAAATAAAGGCATGCTGTCCATCTACAACTATAATTTTTTTTAATGAGGCATGGATTATGAGAACTCTCTATATTATCTTTGGAATGAATTCTTCTTTCTTTCTGTTCTTATTTTTTTGTTTTAATGGTGCTGGGGATTGAATCCACCAAATCACACACACTAGGCAAGCACTCTACCACTGAGATACATCCCTCTCCTTATTTGGATTTTTTTTCCTATAAATCTAAAACTATTACAAAATGAAGTTTCTTGTAAAAGAAATCAAGATAAACCAGCAATGAGCAATTAGAAAGTAAATTGGGTAAAAGAGTTCCTTTCCCAAAAGCAACAGAAGTAGAAAATACCTAAGGAAAAACCAGATAAGAAGTGTGAGAGGCTTATAAAAATAAGACTCTACAATTTTACAAAAGAACACTTGAAGAGATCTAAATATATGGAGATACACTCATGTTCCTGGATGGGAAACTCAATATTGTAAAGATATCAGTTATTTCCAAGCTAATCTATAAATTTAATTCAATCACAGTCAAATTCCCAGCAGGAGTTTTCACAGAACTTGACAAATTGATTAGAAAATTCATGTGTGAGAGAAAATGCACAAGAATAGCTAAGACAATTTTGAAAGAGAAGAACAATGGAAAGGGAGACTTGCTTGACCAGACATCCAAATATTTCATACATTTCTAGGAAAGAAAACTATGTGCTAGAGCTCTATTCAAAGTAGACAAAAATGGGTATGCCAAAATTCAGACCAATCAGAATGGACAAAGGTTCTAAATAGCCAATTTGCCCTGATGCAGGATTATTGGCCTAATAATCAGACCTAGCACAGGGATAGAGATAGGGAGCAATGGCACTGAATAGAGACCAGAAACACATCCATGTGTATGTGGTAATCTGGTATTTAATGAAGGCGGCTTTTCAAATCAGCAGAGAAAGAATGGTCTATTCAATAAATAGTATTGAGGCAATTGGCTATCCATTTGTGAAAAAAAATTAGATCCTTTCTTCACACCATTTAAAAGTGAAATTACAAAGTAAAAGCAAAAGATATAAAATATAAAATATGACTCTAATATAAGAAAATATTGAAAAGTATGGTTATAATATTGATGTGGGGGGAAACCGTCTTTTAAAGAAACCACAGAAAGCAAAAAAGATCTCAATGAAAAGACTGGTACATTTGATGCCATCAAAACTCTGAAATGTCTGCATAACAATAGGCACCATAAACAAAATTAATACACAAATGACAGATTGGGAGACACAATTGACAACTTTTATCCATGGTGGTCTTCCTTCTGTTTCTCTAAAACCCCCTTTATTTTTTTTCCCTTTACATATGTAAAATTTCTATTCCTAGTGTCTGAAATGCTGCATCTGTGCTTAAATTCTCATGAGATCTGAATGATTTGCATTTCACCTCTTCATAGATGCCTTTCCTAACAGTCCAATACAAGCAGCCACTCCCCACCTTTCATAATCTACTCTGACACTCCTTTTTATTCTCCTCAGAACACTAACTGTTCCAGAAAGTGAGTCTGGGCAGGAGTATGGTAGCACCTGCCTGTAATCCCAGCCATTTGGGAAGCTGAGGCAGGAGGATTGCAAATTCAAAACTAGCCTCTGCAACTGAGCGAGGCCTCCATCTCCAGATTACAACTAGAAAGGACTGAGGATGTAGCTCATTGGTAAAGGGCTCCGGTTCAATCTCCGGTACAAAAATAAATAAATAAGAAAGAAAAGAGAAAGAAAAAAAGAAAGTGAGTCTGTATTTGTTCATTGCTTCTCTGTCAGGCCCATTAAACAGACTTGTTCTCTTAATTTCTGTATCTTCTGTATCCCCAGTGCCTACCAGAGTGCATGGCATACAACAGATGCTCAATGAATATTTGTTAAATGAATTAATGTACAAATTTATAAATTATAATTATAGAAATTATAGAATTTAATACACCACAGTGAATCTCACTATCATGTACACCCACAAAACTGAGATCCTAATTGGAATAAGATATATTCCATGCTTGTAAAGGATTCTACTGTCACGTGTAGATAAAATGTACCAATAAAAATGTGAAGTTCCGTTCTGGTCGGCAGTCTAGATGGCCGAGATGGAGACACTGAGCGCTGGGGCTGAGGACGGCTTCACCCAGGTCACCCGCAAGGGAGGCCGGCGGGCTAAGAAACGACAGGCAGCGCAACTGTCCGCAGCAGGGGAGAGCGGGGACGCGGGCTGCATGGACACCGAGGAGGCCCGGCCGGCGAAGAGGCCCGTCTTCCCGCCCCTCTCTGGGGACGGACTTGTGGGTGGAAAAGAAGAAACGCGGAAAATTCCAGTCCCAGCGAACAGATACACACCATTAAAAGAAAACTGGATGAAGATATTTACTCCTATTGTAGAACATTTGGGACTTCAGATACGCTTTAATTTGAAATCAAGAAATGTAGAAATCAGGACTTGTAAAGAAACCAAGGATGTTAGCGCTCTGACAAAAGCAGCTGATTTTGTGAAAGCCTTTATTCTTGGGTTTCAGGTGGAGGATGCTCTTGCCCTCATCAGATTGGATGACCTCTTCTTAGAGTCTTTTGAAATTACAGATGTTAAGCCCCTAAAGGGAGACCACCTGTCAAGGGCAATAGGAAGAATTGCTGGCAAAGGAGGAAAAACCAAATTCACCATATAGAATGTGACGCGGACGCGGATAGTTTTGGCTGATGTGAAAGTTCACATCCTTGGCTCTTTCCAAAACATCAAGATGGCAAGAACTGCCATTTGCAACCTCATCCTGGGAAATCCTCCATCAAAGGTTTATGGCAATATTCGAGCTGTGGCTAGCCGAGCAGCAGATCGGTTCTGATTTCAAATCAGAGACTTTTTATCTCATCTTTGGACTCTTAAAGAAAAAGACCTTGTACCCTGAAGGTGATCACATGAAACCATGTGAATTATTTTTTAGTCACTTTGAGACTGGATCCCTTCTTCTGTTCTCAGCAAGAAGTATAAACAGGAAAGATTTAATAGTATTCACACTGAATAGCTTTTTGGATAATTTAAATGACAGAATCTAATATTATTATTATACCTACACGTTAAGCTTTATTTTTTTGTTTTTTGGTTTTTCTTTTTAATGTTGGGAATTGAACCAAGAGACTCCTCATGCATAGTAGACAAACATTCTTCCACTAAGCTACAGCCCAACCCTTCTTTACTCTTTTTTTTTTTGAGATAGGGTCTACTTAAGTTGTCCAGGCTGCCTCAAACTTGCAATTCTTCTGCCTCAGATTCTCAAGTAGCTGGGATTACAGACTTGTGACACCACAACCAGCAATTTCTCGTGTTTTTTATTTTAAATCACAGAAAACAGATTTGCAATTTGGAATTCTCTCATGTAGAGGAAATTTCTTGCTTAAACAACTTCTGTATGAATTTTTAAGTTTTTATTTATAAATTTATAAACATTTCTGTAAATTGTAATTAAAAGAATTATCTCAAATAAAAAAAAAAATATGAAGTTCCTATGATTATATGGCCTTTTTTGAATACCCTTTATGTTCTTCAATATTTTGTGCCTGCTTCGTCTTCTGTGTACCTATAACTAATCCAACCCCAAACTGTCTGCCAGAAAAGTAAATCTCATCTCAATATGTCCTAGCATTTTTTCTTAGAAATATCTCTTCTAGAATTCTCCATGATCCTTTTTCTGCTGCTGTTGAGGCTCCAGGATTGCAGCTTGGCTACCTATTATATAGAAAGGATGATGGTAAAAGGGAAGTCTGGGGACTTACCTTCATTCTAGGGGTCATCCTCACCTTTCTGTAATATTAGATTCCCTGCTTTCTGGCTTCTAGATCTCCCTCATTTTTGGATCATTCTTCATTATTTGATTTATTGACATATTTTAATAGTATGGATGTTTTATATCCCAAGAAAAAGAATGTCAAATTTTCCCCTCCTGTATGTTTTTGTCTGGATTCTTCATGGTCTGTGATTCCAGCTGAGGTTTTCAATATAATGAAATCAATCTGATGGAATGGGAGGAGATTATTCTGCCATTTTTCTATGTCTTTGTATATCAAATCTGGGGTTGACCATGTAGCTCTGTGGTCATCACTGATTTCAAATTTGTCATTCCAGTTAGGAGCCACATGATGACTTTGAAGCACAACCTAACATACCTGACATTTGCTACTACTTTTTAATTTTTTTTTTTTTTTTGGTACTGGGGATTGAACTCAGGGGCACTCGACCACTGAGCCACATCCCCAGCCCTATTTTGTATTTTATTTAGAGACAGGGTCTCACAGAGTTGCTTAGCACCTTGCTTTTGCTGAGGCTGGCTTTGAACTCATGATCCCCCTGCGTCAGCCTCCTGAGTGGATGGGATTACAGATGTGTGCCACCATGCACAGCTCCCTTTTGGTATTTTTGATGTCTTTGAGGGCATTCACCAGGACATTCATGCACACCATGATGTTGTCATGGAAAGATGGTAGGAAGTATCTCAATCTTCATTTTAACAGATCAGATCCTGCAATAGCTTCTTGAGAGGACTGCATGCAGAGTATATGTCTTGAGAACGTTTCCATCTGAACATGTCTTTGTTTTATCCTCACACTTTATTAGTCATTTGAGTGTAAAATTCTAAATTGCAAACCATTTACTGTAAAACATTCAAGGACACTGATCCATTATCTTCTAGATTCCAGTGTGTGGTTGAGGAGTTTGATGCTATTCTGATTCATACACTTGCTTTTCTTTGGGAACCTTTAGGGCCGCTTTGTAAAGTATACTAAAATTTCACCAAAACGTGCCCCATTATATGTCTTTTTTATCTAGTGTGTTATTGTGCCCTCTCATTTCAGAAACATTTGTCCTTTCATTAAGAAGAATGTTGTTGAAATATTTCATTAACGTTTTCCTAGTCTCTCTTGTCTTTGTTTTTTTCCCCTTCATTGTATTACTTTAATTCACATATTGGGCCTCTTGGAGCCTTCTTTTAGTTTTATTTATTTTCCATTTCTTTGTACTTTTGTCTATTTGCCATCAACTACACACACACACACACACACACACACACACACACACACACACACATTCAGTACTGGGAACTGAATCATTGAATTCAACGGCACTTTACTACTGAGCTATATCCCCAATCATTTTTATTTTATATTTTGAGACAGAATCTCACTCAGTTGCCCAGGCTGGCCTCAATCCTGTGATCCTCCTGCCTTAGCCTCCTGGGTAGCTGCATTACAGTTGTGCACCCTTGAGCTCATAATTTATTTAATTTTGCTTTTATCTTATCATGTTGACAATTTGTTAATTCTCCTCTCTTTTCTTTTTGACTGCCTCCTGTTTCCGTTCTATGGATTCCTGAATATTCTGGTATTGCTAAAGGATTTTCTATCCTGTCTATCAGGACTGTCTATGCAGCAGAATAAACTTTTCTGCACTGCAAACATCAGATTTGGACACATCACTTGTTTGGGTCAATGAAAAATGAGTGGAAGAGATATGTTCTACTTTTGAGCAGAAGCATTGAGAGTCACTGTACAATGCCTCCATCTTGCTTTCCCATCTGCTAGGAGCCTGAGGATACCACAGATGGAAGCTGCTTCTTCGGTTTGGATCCTGAGGGTAGACAACAGAACAGACATGCAGATAATATATGGCATGAGCACAAGGTCAC